CCAGGTCGCCAAAGTCCCCCCCCCCCCCCAAATCCCCAGTGAGGTAGAAAAAGCCGATGAACAACCACTCAGGCTGACTCCACCACTAATGGATTCAAACTCACTGGAAATGCCTTCAGCACCAACCAAAGGGTGTTTTACATATTCCTGCACTGATGCGTTCATTTCTTCACTCGGAAAACGAGGGAAAACATAATTAAGGGCAGCTTTCTCCTCTGTTCCTAAAATCTTAGGGAATTTTAAACATGGTGGTTTTCAGATCTAAAGGAAAAAACACCACCTGGTATTTTCCAAATGATAATTCATCTATGGAACGTTTGCTGGCCTGACTCACACTTAATTCAGTAGAATTCTGAAAACAGTGCTTGAGTTTAAAATTATCAGTCTCAGTAAGAGACTTTTTTTTAATTGTTTATTTGTGAGAGAGAGAGCGACAGAGTGCGAGTGGGGAAGGAGCAGACAGAGAAAGGGAGACACAGAATCCGAAGCAGGCGCCAGGCTCCAGGCTGTCAGCACAGAGCCCAACGCTGGGCTCGAACTCACAATCGGTGAGATCATGACCTGAGCCCAAGTGAGACGCTTAACTGATCAAGCCACCCAGGTGCCCCACCATCGTTTTGTTTTTTTTTTTAATGTTTTAATTATTTTAGAGAGAGAGAGAGACAGAACATAAAAGGGGGAGGTGCAGACGGAAAGGGAGACACAGAATCCAAAGCAGGCTCCAGGCTCCGAGCTGTCAGCACAGAGCCCGATGCGGGGCTTGAACTCACGATCGGTGAGATCATGACCTGAGCCGAAGTCTGACATTTAACCAACTAAGCCACCCAGGCGCCCCAATAAGAGACTCTTAAACACAGAGAACAAACTGAGGGCTGATTGGGGGCGGGGCAGGGAATATGGGGGATGGGCCTTGAGGAGGGCACCTGTTGGGATGAGCACTGGGTGTTTGTATGTAAGCGATGAGCCACAGGAATCTACCCCCAAAACCAAGAGCACACTTTATGCACTGTAGGCTAGCCGACCTGACAATAAATTATATTTTTAAAAAAGTTTTAATAAAATAAAATAAAATTACCGGTCTCAAGAGATTCTCTTTGAGTCTTCTGTTTCTCTGTATGAGGAGCTGTCCTTTACCTCTCTTCTCCAAGAAGTCCTTCATGAGCTCCTGGTGAAAGAGGGAGAGAACATGACCCAGAAGGACAACAGGCCTGAACGATACAGATGCTGGTGGCCGGTGGGTCAGAAGCACATCAAGTAGAAAGAGCAAAATTTGACCAAAAGAAATGTGAGCATAATGGGGAAGGGTGGAAATTCTCTTAGCATTTTTAAAATATTTTTGCTTCATTGTAGAAGGTTTGAAAAAAATGAGAAAAGCACAAAACAGAAAGAAAGAAAAGAAAAAGCAGCATCACCTTGGAGGACTCCAGCCAGAGACAGTCCTGAGTAACCTTTGGAGGCCATGTGTCCCCCGCTGAGGTCTCAGCAGGTTGGTCAGTGATTGTCGCTGAAAGCCTCCCCCCCCACCCCCCCCCCCCCCCCAAACACACAGCTAGATGGACACGTGATGGCCCAGGGCCTCTTCTGAGCCAGTGTCAGTGACAGGGACACCACGGGGACACCTAGGAGGCAGTGTGTGACGGGTGGGGGAGTGCCAGGGGGCAGTGCGTCCACGTAGAGCTCCCTCCCCGCCTGGACGGCGGCCTCTGGAGCCCCTGAGTCTGTAAGGACGGAGGGAGCGTGATGGGCTCTGGACTAACCCGGAGGCACCGAGTTCGGGACGTGTGACCGGGTCAGTGGGCGGCAGGTGAACTTTCTGGGCGTTCGGAGATGCGCGGGGTGAGGGGTACTGGGCGCCTGCGGGGTGAGGAAGGAGCCCGGGACGCTGGACTTGGGGCGGGGAGGGGGGTCCCCGGGACGTACCTCCTCCAGGTAGATGTCCTCGTTCCAGTTGCCCATCCGCACTCCAGGACCATACAGGTTCTGAGCCATGGCGCCCTCTCCTCTGTCGGCCCCTGACACCGGACACCAGCGGTGTTAGCGTGCCTCGTAGTCATGGCAACCGGACCCCCCGCGATTGGCCAGGCTCGGGGCCTGCTGGCCAATCAGTGACAGCACAGGAGCCAGGGGCGGGGAGGAGTGAGGGTTGGAGGCGTGGGCAAAGGAAGGGTGGGGGTAGGTGAGGGTTGGAGGGGTCGCCCTCCCCACCCCCTGCGTCTTCCACCCCCCAGGAGAGATCTACCTGAGCTGGGCTGCAGAGCAGGGGGGAGGAGAAACTCCAGCGGGCAGGCCTCTTAAGAGTTAAACACGTCAAAACCTTTTCCTTCTGCGGCTCCGGGCGGGCTCAGTCCGGGAAGGGTGGGGCTCTTGATCTCAGGGTCGTGAGTTCCAGCCCCACCTTGGGCGTAGAGATCAAGATCTTGAAAATAAATACGAAACCATTTTCTGATATGGGGACCAAAGGCAGAAGGAAATGTAGATGAAATCAAATTGCCTTATAACCTGCAGCCCGCTGACAAATACTTGGGGCGGGCAGAGGAGGATTTTCCTTCTGGAACTCTCCGCTCTCCTAATGCTAATGCTTTGCCGGAGGGGAGAACAGCCTTAGCTTGACAATAGCCAGGCCTCCTGGACCCTGTGAGTCCTTCTTAGCATATGAAAGTGCTTCTGGACGCTTCACCCTGTGTTTACCTCCCCCAACTCCCAAGTATATAATCAGTCTCTCCTCAAGGCCCTGTCTGTCCCCTAGTCCTCTCCCTTCGATGAGGGAACAGACAGAAAGCTGACACCCCACCGCCCCCTCCTCAGGAGGGACATGTGTGACATTCCTCAGACACTCACGGATGCCCCAGGGCAAAGGAAAGGAAAAAAAAAAAAAAAAGCAAACAAAGGGTTAACTGATAGAGATCACAGCCCTGGGGAATCTGAGTCCCCATCAGTTTACATATGTCTTGGTAAATTACAAGAAAAAGGCAACTTTGCCCAAAGCCTAAGCTCCAGAAACCTATAGGCGGTTTCCTGGAGCCCAGACATCACCCTCCCCTCCACAGTGATGTGGGAACAGAGACCAGAAGGAAATGGCAGGTGACATTAAATTTCGTCAAAACCTGCAGGCCCCTGAGATACTTGAGGCAAATACATAGAACCTTCCCCACCCCACCCCCCCCAAGCCCCTGCGGTCCTAGTGTTAACTTCTCAAGAGAGGGAAACCAGCCTCAGCTTGACAACAGCAAGGCCCCTGGCATCTTCCCAGTCCTCGTTAGCACATCAAAGTCCTTCTGGAGGCTTCCCTTAGGCCTTCACCTCCCCAACTGCATAGTATGTGAGGAGCCACTCTTCACCACCCCAGTGCAGCTCTCCCGCCCGCCCGTCCTGTCCCCTTGCTTTCATAAAGTCGCCTTTTTGCACCAAAGACAGTTCAAGAATTCTTCCTTGGCCGTTGGCTCCAAACCCCCACCTTTTCCACATCATTTTCCTTTTCCTTTAACTTTTCGAATCTGAATGGAAAACACAGCGCAGGTAAAGGACCTGTCGCTCGTTGACACAAAGAGGAGCTTTTGGATGGAAACCCACCGCGCCCCCCCCCGCCCCCGCCGTGTGTCTTGTGGCGGCAGCAGCAGCAGAGTGACCTTGACCCTCAAAGGATGCATCCTCGGTGCAGAAATTTGGAACCCAAATAACATCGAAGGAAGCGGGAAGGCAGAATTACAATGTCACTGCCTCAGAAGTAGGAAATGTGTCATGTTAGCCTATTTCTGTTCACGCGGTTCTGAGGCAGGACACCGCTCCCTGGGCTTCACGGCATCCCTGCCTCCCCCCTCCCCAGTCTCCCGAGTGACCCGACAAGCCTGTGGTTTGCAAGAATTCCTGATAAAGCTAGAATAGGCCGGAGCCAACGTTTTCAAAGGTCGTGACCTGAGCCAAAGTCGGAGGCTCAACCAACTGAGCCACCCAGCCCCCGCGCGCCCCCGCCGGTCTCCGTGTAACTTAATGAAGTTGTAATGAGTCGCTTATTTGGTAAGAACTTACCCCAGTGCGGCTGCGCCCC